AACTCAAAAAAAAAAAAAAAAATCATGCAAACTGGCCGGACGCGGGGGCTCAAGTCTAATCCCAGCACTGAAAGGCCAAGGCAAGAGGATTGCTTGAGCCCAGGAGATTGAGACCAGCCTGGGCAACATTGTGAGACTTAGTCCCTACAAACAAATTTGCTGCTGTTTTATTGTTTTGGGTTTTTTTTACAAGTAAGCAAACAAATTTTTTTTTTGAGTCGGAGTCTCACTCTGTCGTCCAGACTGGAGTGCAATGGCACACTCACAAGCCACCGCAGCCTTGACCTGCTGGGCTCAGGTCATCCTTCCACCTCAGCCTTCCAAGTAGCTGGAACCACAGGCATGTGCCACCATGCCTGGCTAATTTTTCTATTTATTGTAGAGACAAGTACTTGCCATGTTGCTCAGGCTGGTCTGAAACCCCTAAACTCAGGCAATCTTCACGCCTCCGCCTCCCAAAGTGCTGGGATTGCAGGCTTGAGCCACTGTGCCTGGCACAAATTTTTTTTAAAAATTAAAATCATGCAAACCACTCCAGGCAGGGCTGGTGGACCTGGGATTGTTTTCAGCAGGGCTGTCATCCAGAGAGCCAGGCTGCTTGGGAAAGAAGGCTCAATCAAGACAGGGATTTCGGAAGTCATTTTTATTCGGTGTCTTACATTGGCATGATCAGAGTTCCATCTGAAAGGAGAGAGGACTGAGAGGGGCCAGACCCTTTTGTGGCTGAGAGGCTACCTTGGGGGAAGCTTGTGTTGGGGCAGTGGGGAGGCAGAGAGGCAGGGACCCACCCAACCTGGCCTCTGCCCTGTCACTTTCATGGGAGGAAAGCCCAGGAGGGGAGACACGGCCTTCCCACTGGGAGGCCAGGTGAGGCATTAGTGCTGGAGGCCCACAGCTTCACCTGGGAGGGGTCAGGGCCCAGCCCCAGAGGGCCTTTAGGTGTACAACAGAGGGAAGGGCAGCTCAGTGGTCGGCTGGAGCCTGCAGCAGACAGAGGAGATGGCTTTGAAATGCGGATCGCTGCTCCCAGTTTCCAAGGCTTCTTCAGGGGACTATCTGGGCACATGTGCCATCCTGCCACCTACCAGTTCTCTGGGCTCCAGACGGTGTCAGAGGCCTCCATGATGTGGAAAGTATAGGCCTGGCGCGAGCGGTCCGAGAGGTTCTGCTCACTCTTATGCACCACTTCTCCGTGGATCAGGACCAGGGCTCCTGGCAGAGACACCAGCACCACATTCTGCCTTCCCAGGGTGAGAAGGGACATGGGCACTCCACCCTCAGGTGGCTTTGTGGCCCCCATCCATCCTCATTCCCTTCCCTAACTTTCCCAGCTCCAGGGTCAGAGGCCACACTGTGTTGCCCTGTGATCAAGTCCCCTCTGCATGCTTTGCAAGCTGAGGAAGGCCTCCCCTTGTGTGGCATTTGCAAGATTGGGGAGAAGCCCCCTCTACTGTGCCAGACAGCTGGGACCTCACTGTGACACCGAGGTGGATCTCAGTTTGCCCTTTTCCAGAAGGAAGAGAGTAGACCAAGAATGATCTTTGTTGACAATTTGCTGTGTGCCGCACAGATACTATGTCAACATATACACGGCCAGACATGGTGTCTCGTGCCTGTTATCCCAGCACTTTGGAAGGCTGAGACAGAAGGATCGCCTGAGCCTTGGAGGCAGAGACTGGAGTGAGCCACGATCAAGCCAGTACACTCCAGCCTGGGTACCAAAGCGAGACTGACTCAAAAAAAAAAAAAGGCCAGACACAGTGACTCACGCCTATAAATAATCCCAGCACTTTAGGAGATGGATTGCCAGAGCCCAAGGGTTCAAGACCAGTCTGGGCAACATGACAAGACCTCATCTCTACAATAAATAAAACAATTAGCAGGGTGTGGTAGTGTGCACCTGTAGTCCCAGCTACCTAGAAGACTGAAGCAGAAGACTCGCCTGAGCCTAGCAGGTCGAGGCTGCTGTGGCCATGATCATGCCACTGCCCTCCAGCCTGGGTGACAGAATGAGACGCTGACTCAAAAAAAACCCATCTAACTGAGTGCCTATTTTATATTTGGGGAAACAGAGGCTCCAAGAGTAAGTCATGTGCCCAAAGAAACAGCATCTAAGCAATAGTGTGTGGATTCTAGCCTGATCAGGTGAACTTGCTGGCAACCACACTGCTTTCTGACTTCTCGGTGCCTGTCCCACTCTACCTTCTCTTTCTGTGACTTCACGGTCCCCAGGATGATCCCGAGGGAAGCCTCTCGGACACTGGGTGGTTGAACAAGCATAAACCCATAGACACAGCCCCCTCTGCATCTGCCCTCTGCGTCCCACCTACCTCTCCGCACTGGTGTGGGCACAAAGAGCCTGTCATCCCGGGCTGGCTCTGACCCGAGGAATCTGGTGCCAGGCACTGAGCCAGCGGGGGCCCGAACCATCCTTCTTGGCACACCACCTGCGGGCCAGGTGAAGAGCCTGAGACCCCTCTTTTCTCTAGGTCCCTCTCCCTAGGGGAGAGGGATGGCACATATAGGTGGGCGGGGAGAGACCAGGGTCCTCACTGGTGTGGGAGCCAGGAATAAACCAGAGGCAGCCGTTCTCCAGGGTGGCGTCCTCCACTGCAATCCAGATGCCCAGCACCCGGCCCAGGGGCTCCGTGTACAGGAAGGTGGCATCCTGGTGAGGGGTGACTGGGCAGGCCCACCTGGGGTGAGGAGCCCGCCCCATATCTGGGTCCCCCCTCGGCCACATCTCCCCACCCCAATGCTGGGTCCCCCCTCGGCCCACATCTCCTCAGTCCTCTCGGAGCACTCAGGGGCTGCCTGCCCTGATCTGCTAAAGTCTTGCCACCTCCTGGCCCAGGAACTCCAGGCACGAGATTTCACCTGTCAAAGGTTCAATTTCCTGCACCATAAAGTGGCCCCGATATTAGCCTACCTCATAGGGTTGCTGGAGGAGTCCATGAGAGGATGCATGAAAAGTGTTTAATGCAGGGCCCAACCAGAGAAGCTGCTGCTGTTGAATTCTAGCCAGGTAACTAAAGCCACCGTTCTTAACCTGGGATGAGCAGCCCCTAGCCACCAGGTGATTCACCCAGTGGCATAAAATTGGGAAGTTGGGTGCATAGTGAGGGGGATGCTGGTACCAAGTGTTCTCTTTTTGTTTTTTTTGAGTCGAGGTCTTACTCTGTCATCCAGGCTGGCACGCAGTGGCTCGATCACAGCTCACTATAGCCTCAACCTCCTGGGCTCAAGTGATCCTCCCATCTCAGCCTCCCCCGTAGCTAGGACTACAGGCATGCACCACCATGCCCAGCTAAGTTTTTTTTCTCTCTTTGTAGTGACAAGGTCTTGCTGTGTTGCCCAGGCTGGTCTCGAACTTCTGGGCTCAAGCGATCCTTCCACTTCAGCCTCCCAAAGGTTTACGGCACGAGCCTCCGTACCCAACCAGAATCTGTATTTTTAACCACCTGGAGGTTGTTGTCAGGTCCAGGAACTGCTGTGGGAGGAGCTCAAGGTTTTCTTACCAACCTACTATTTTAGAAAGGAAAGGAAGGTGGCTCATCCTCTCCTGGCCCAGGGTCCTGCCTACAGGCATTGCAGCAAGTACTTTCCCTCCCTCTAAAGACCTGGCAACCACTGATGTCCCAGATGTCTCGCATGTGGCCTTTGTGGGGCCCGCAGCATGCTCTCAGCTCACCTTCGCCGCCAAAATGAGGTTGCTGCAAGACAGAGGAAGAGCCAGGTGAGGGCTGGGAAGTGTTACGGGTGTGGCTGCCCTGGCTCCAGGCGTTTACCTCCCAGAACTCCACGTCAGCACCCAGGTACGGAGCACCTACTGTGTGCCAGGCCCAGGAGGGGTGTAAAGAGAAAGACCGCCCTGCCCTTTAGGGAGCTCCCTGGGGGTGCCAGAGCCAGCCCAGCACACATATGCCTAACAAGATTGCAAAGCAGAGCGGGGTGAGGCTGAGAGGGAGAAGCTGGCACATGGGCTAGCAGGTCAGCTTCTTGACAAGGCCAGAGTCAGAGATGGGTCCCTCTTTCCTCAGGGAATCTGAAGGTTTCTTGGAGGAGGCGGCACTGAGCTGGGCCTTGAATGCTGGGAAGAGAGCACTTTGATAGCTAAAGAAAGGAAGGCCAGGTGCAGTGGCTCAAGCCTGTAATCCCAGCACATTGGGAGGCCAAGGCGAGAGGATTGCCTGAGCCCAGGGGTTCGAGACTAGCCTGGGCAATTTGGCAAGACCTCATCTCTACAATAAATTTTTTAAAAATTGAGCTGGGCTCGGTGGCTCAGCCTGTAATCCCGTGCCTTTGGGAGGCTGAGGTGAGTG